CAGAACACCAATTGCACAAGAAATAATACCTAGAATCAATCAATGGGATCATATCAAATTTAAAAGATTTTGTACAGCAAAGGAAACAACGAACAAAGTGAAGAGACAACCTATAGAATGGGAAAAAGTTTTTGCCAGCTATTCCTCAGACAGAGGATTAACATCGAGAATGCATAAAGAACTCAAGAAAATTAGACCCCCCAAAAATAAAAGACACAATCAAAAAATGGGGAACCAAAAAGAACAGACACTTAGAAGAAGTACAAATGGCTAATAGTTAGATGAAAAATGTTTGACATTGCTGGCCATTAGAGAAATGAAAATTAAAACAACACAGATAAAATCTTACTGTTTCCAGTATCTTTTTTTTGGTATCGAGGATTGAACTTGGGTCCTTGCGCTTGTGAAGCAGGCAGCAGAACCACTGAGCTAAGTCCCCAGCCCCTCTGAGATACAATCTTACTCCAGAAAGAATGGCTATCATAAAGAAAGTAAATAATAACAAATGCTGGTGAGACTGTGGAGAAAAGGGAACCCTTACATTGTTGGTGGGAATGTGAATTAGTACAACCTTTATGAAAATCTATGTGGAGATTCCTCAAAAACACTAAAACTAGGGCCGGGGATTTAGCTCAGTGGTTCCGCCACCTGCCCTGCAAGTGCAAGGACCCAAGTTCGATCCCGGTACTAAAAAAAAAAAAAACCCACTAAAACTAGAAATTCCATTTGACACAGCTATTCCCCTTCTATGTGTCTTCCCAAAAGAGCTGAAGACACCATATTACAGCGATGCATGCATACCCATGTTTATAACAGCACAATTTATAATGCCTAAATCTTGGAAACAGCCTACATGTCCATCAACAGATGAATGGATAAAGAAAGTGTAGTATTTATACACAAAGGAGTACTACTCCGTCATAAAGAAAGATAAACTTCAGTTATTTGTAGGTAAATGGATACACCTTGAGACCATAATATTAAATAGAATAAGTCAGACACAGAAGCTTAACCTGCGTGATGTCTCTTTTCTGAGAAATTCAAAAAATATAAATAGCAAAATAAAAGATAAGTAGGAAGTAAGGAGATCTTTTTCAAACTGACGGAAACAAGAGACGGAAAGATGAAGGAGGAAGGGGAGGGAAATGGGGTGGGAAAAAAGAATTGAAAAAAAAGGAAATAGAGCTTTTGCAAATGAAATAGGGACCAAGTGTTGGAAGGAGCAGAGCGGGATGGGGGGGGGCGGTTAAGAGATGACAGAAAGAATTAAGATGTATCATGTATATGTACCAACTCCCCATAATAAATTAATCATTATGGACTGCAAACTTGCACTAATAAAAAAGTGTACATTTTGGGGGGGTTGCTTTGTTTTGTTTATTTTATTTTGTTTGGTTGTTGTTATTTTGATTTCATGTGGTTTTGTGTGATTTAGTGTGGTTCTTTGAAACAGGGTCTCACTATGTAATCCAGGCTGTCCTCAAACTCATAATACTCATACCTCAGCCTCCTGAGTGCTGGGATTATACCACCACATCAGGATACCTCACCTGGCTTACATTTTTATTGAAGCAATTGCTAAGTTATTTTCTCAAACGATTATACCATTATACATTCCCACCACTGATTTTTGTTTTTACATATTTTATTTTTAAAAGTCCAATATAATTCTTATTCTTCTTTCCCTATAAGTAAGGTGGAATTTTTTCTCTGACTTCAAAATTTTCTCTTCACTTTTTGTTTTTGTATCTTGGATCTGATATATCTACAGGTACATTTTTTGTTTTAT